GACTGTGATTTATGAAACAAAGATTGTATCTATTCTCAATTTTATTATTTATTCTCATTTAATTTTAAAACTTTCTAGGGTAATCAATATAATAGTAAAAACATAACTATTTTCAATGAAATCTTTTGTTAAATACAAATATTTAAGAAATAAAATATGACTTAATAATACTAACAGTTTTAATTTTTTTTTCAATACACTTATAAGATATAAGATGTTTAAATTTTTGTATTAATAACTTCTCTTATAAGAATATCACACTAAAATGTGTTACATATCACAAATCATTTTTGTGTAAATATTAAAATTATGTACCACTTATTGCATATAATCATTCTTTCTATTGACATTAAGTAATATCAAATATTTTGATACAAGATTATATTTTCTATTACAATTACTGAACATGAAAATATTTTGAAGTCGTGCACGAATCCATTTTATTAACATAGAAATACAGTCATCACCATTCAAAAGAATGTTTACTGTTCCTTATCGCACTTAACACATTCGGTTCCCTGCCTGGATGATTTCCTTTACAAGTTTTGGTACTGAGCAGCATGAAGAAGTTGAAAACGATTAAATTATTATTAAAGGCATAAATGTTCAAAATATTCAAATTAGTTAAAAAACTTAAACTCTACTAAATAAGTAAAAATTTAATGTTTTCTCATTTCAATTACTATATCTCCTTATAAAATACAAATTTTGTTAACAAATTGTTTATAGGTATTGGTAATCTAGCCTCATGTTCAATGTTGTGAATAGCAAACAATGAGTAGTTTAAAAAAAAATCATTATCTGTTCCAAGTGATTATTTTGTACAAACTATGTATAACTTACTTGTGTAAAATCACAGAATAATAAAGTCATTTTTGATGGTAAAAAAGACCATACTTACAAAATAATGATATAATTTGCATTATTTAATCTTGAAAATATTATTGTATTATTGTCTATCTTACCTACACTGGATGAAGCTTGTGTTACATTACTAAAATTATTAGACGTTTGTGATTCACTACTTGAGCCAAATATCACATTAGCTGCTAAAGCACTAGCAGATTGTGTCAATTTGTAGGAATTGGTTGAAGTAGAACTGGTAAATATTGCTTCTAATTTATTTGGTGTATTAAGTGAATCATTTGATAGGAGTTTTAATCTGTGATTGCATTTCCTTTGCTTGTGTGGCCATTTGTGGGTGGAGCTTTCGTTTCATTTAACTATGAAATAAAAAACTATCGCAATTAACAATTTTGTGATTTGCTTTGTTATTATATATATATCAAAAAAATATGTTCAATAACTAATCTTTATTCGTTACCTTCTGAGAAAGATTACCAACAGACTTTTCGAGATTTTCCATTTTCTTAACAAAAGTTGTTTGACTTTCTTGCAGGGTTGCTATCTCGGTGTCTACTTTGACTTTGTTCTCAAGCAAATTTTCAATTTTTGCCTGTAATATAACAATGTCAGATAAAATCCTTGAATTATTCAATATAATGTGTTAATATTCTACAAGCATAAGGAGATGATACAATAGAAACTCGATTAACCAGACTAATTATTGTCAATGGGTATTCGGATAATCAAATGTATAGAGAATAATGTTGTGTATTCATTAAAAATAACAATTACGTAGATATCAACGAAAATCAATGTTTATTAAGAAGTTAACACTTCCTTATGTATGTACATACATAGTTTCTTAGATTACATTACATACAAATACTAAACTGCAGTATTAATCATGCAAAAATTCAAATTGTGGTATGTATAAATCGCGAATTCGTATAATTGAAGTCCGGATAAACGAGGTTCTAGTGTATCATCATAATGCGTACATAGTTAAAAATGAATATGCGAATGCATAGTTATACTTACTTTATTAGATTTTTGTTCATCAGTTGTCCATTGTAATTGCTTAGATAAAGTTGTATTCGCTAATATAAGTTGTTGTTTAGTTAATTCTATATCACGCATTAGTTGCTCCCTAGCAGCAGCTTGCTCGCGCTGATCCGGTAACTGCAAAGCTGCCGTGTTAGCTTTGCTCTGGTTAGTCATTTGTGCCTGGTAATAGGATAGAAGAGAAATTTTTTTAAAAATAAATAATTACAATTCACGTCATTTAAAATACTTAATTATTTTAATTTATACAATAATGACGGTTATTTAGCAAACAATATTTTTAACTTCCCGTATGGTAAGTTATTGTAATGGGCCGAAAATCGGAATTGAAAATTTTTACATTTCTCTACGTTTTGAAGGTTTCTGAACATTTTGGCATACCTCAGAAAAAATGGATGTGTGTGTGTGTGTGTATGTATGTATGGACTTTCTGTTTGTCTTAATAAAATAATTGATTTTGGATTTTTTTTTTTTTTTTTTTTTAATTTTTTGTATATCGAAAATAATTCAGATCTTATTTTTATTCTGAGTTCTAATATACTTTAAACAAATAATTTCAACTTTGCAATTCAGTTTATATAATTCTTATAAATATTAGACAATGTTACAATATTTATAATAATCTATTTGAAAACATTCAGTATTCCTCGAACATTTCGTTACGGTACGGGAAGTTCCAGCAATTTGCCTTAAGGCACGATGCCACCCACCCCACTAGTTATATGTGGTTTCGCATTTCTATCTATTAGGTTTCTTGTTTGGCACCTAAAGTAGTTCGTAGTGATGATATAAGCTTGATTTTTGGATATATCAAAATTTTTATTTCGCCTATACTTAACGCGTTAAGTATTGTGAAAAAACTTCCGATTTTTTCTGCTCATTATATATGTTCGTTTTTTTTTTTCTAATTTGTTTTTTATGCACACGCATTTTTGTGATACTCAATTGCAGTATATTGTTGTTAGTTCAAGAAAGAGTTTACATTTTAGCTGTTATTTTATATAATTTAATATATATTAAACTTAATTGTCAAAAATAAATGCTTCATTATTGAGAGTTAACTTGAAATTTTTACTAAATGCGAAATATTTACCAATGATTATTATTTTTATCATTATTTTGCATATTTACAAAAAATGATTCATGATTATTGACTGGTTAGTTGTATCAATATTAGTGCAAAATTTTGTGCTATGTACACATTTTAGATGTAAAATACCAAGTTCAATATCCACGGATGATGACATGGATAATAGATATCAATTTGGAAATATGAACAAACAACACTCTTTTTTGCACTAATTTATTAAATAATAATTTTCACAAACGTTTCGAGACTAGGTTTGTCTCATCATCAGTGTGTTCAGACAAACCTAGTCTCGAAATGTTTGTGAAAATTATTGTTGTTTGTTCATATTTCCAAATTAATATATATATATATATATATATATATATATATATATATATATATATAACGAAACGTCGATAATAAATGAATAAATAAATAAATAAAGAAATAGTTTATTAAAAAACTTTTTTTGTTTGTTTTTTATTACTTTTTGGATTCTTGTTCGAAACTACAAAATATACACAAATCCAAGACTCTACCATTTAATATATATATATATATATATATATATATATATATATATATATATATATGATTTAGTAGTTAATTTTGATGTTCAAATATATAAGTGAGTTCTTGAGAGCGATACATCAAATAAAGAAAAGGCAAAGATTTATAAAATGATCTTTAATTCCAATTGGTATTGATATTTATTTAAGGTACCTGCAAAGTCGTTATATTCGATTTTAACAAATCTGATGTAGTTTGCATTCGATTTCCCTGGTCTTTAAGGCTGCCTACAGTAGCTTCTAAGTCTTTTATTTGAGATCCGAATTGAGCTACACTATTTGATAGATCACTTAATTGTTGAGGTACTTTAACAAGTTCAGGAGACGATTTCAATTTTGATTTAATAGCGTCCAGTTCAGATTGCACCGCAAATAACTATAAAACATATAACATAAATAACATACAAGCTTCTTTAGTTCATTTTATAAGTGCAGAAATTACTTGTTGAGTTAGATTCGTTAGTCTTTCAGACAAATCGTCCGTTTTTCCTGCAAGCATTGTTTGATTTGCTGCAAGATTCCGCGTCGTTTCATGGCACTGTTGTAAAGCTTCGGGTACACCTTTGCTGCCAGCCGATACTGTAAAGAAAGACAAAATAATAACTACATATAAATTAGGGTTGTTTTCATGATTTTATAATAAATTATGAAAAGTGAACAGTTCTCTTCATAAACATTATGGAATTGTCGTTGACCAAGATACTGAAGCGATTACTTCAAATATGCGTAAAAGCCAAGCCATCAATGCCAATACAAATACATACTAGAACGCTAATAAATATTCTTAAAACAAGTAGTGCAACAAAAGATAAAAATATCATTTTAGCTATATCAATCTGAATTATATAAATTATTTTGTTTCATTCTTTAACATTTAATTTCGAACGACATGTTATTTAAAAGCCACTATTATTAGTATATGTTATTCATTTTTGCAGTAATGATTTATAATTGATCAGATAAATTAAATATTAATTCATAAAAGTTTCTACAATATTTGCAGATCGCTGAACTAGTATGTCACTTGAACCTGAAACGAGTATATCGATATAGACTTGATTTGAGATGAAATAACTGCTCTACCATAGATTATAAAAAGTATTTTGGCTTATTAGGACAACCTGAGGCGCAATTTATTTATATTGTTTCTCATGTTTATCACGTTTTCAATTTCGCACCTAATTCGACCTGTTGTCTCAGCGATGCCATTTGAACGCGTACGTCTGCAAACAACCAGAGGGCTGCGCATGCCGCCAGCAAACAGGCGCACAACAGAAGAATTTTACAAGCCCTTCTCGAAGCTCGGCAAGCCGCTCCGTTCGCTTTGACTCCACAAAGCCACCAACTACGTTTAGACCTAGATGATTTAGATACTGATGCATCGTGTGTGTCCATTTCCTCCTGCTCGTCTGTAGATGGTACGAGAAGAGGCCTCTCTCTCCTAGCAGCACATCCGCGAGCCGACACCAACATTGCGTCTAAATCACGCCTTTTTCGCATCTTTTTACCGCCCGTCCGTAATGGTACAATCACGTGTTGGCCGCCGTTAACACTAACAGCCCCTGCACACTCCATAGCTGCACTTTTTATTAATTAATGTTCAAGCGAGATATTTGATCACTGTTTCACAATTTACTACAATAGTTTATTATTCCCATTTCATTCATAACTAATAAATTTAAATGTCTTTTTACTCATATTATTGTTTTATTAGACCTTTTCAAATAATGATGTAATTTTAAAAATATTTGTTAATAATAGATATTACATATTATTTTAAGTTTTAAAACATAATTTCATAGTAGCGAATAGATCGTTTCTACTGTTTCTTTTAACAAACGAATAAAACTAAAAATGTATAATTGGAAAATACGTGAGTTCAATATTTTTGCTCATTTATGAATAGTGAAAACATGCTTTCAATTATATTATTTCGTAAAATATCAACAATTTTATTGATATCGGAATTGAAATACGATCATATGTACTAAACATTTTAAATATAAAAATAAATATAATCAGTGGTGTTGTGCTAATATTTTTTTTGCCGGAACGCTAAAATTAAAAAACCGGTTCATAAACCGGTTCAAAAACCGGTTCTCATGTTTGTGCCGGTTTCGTTCGAAAAGGAAAGAAACAAAAATTATTACAAAGCCTATTTTGCGCACATATATGTATGTTTATTAGAATAATCGGAAAATTTAATAAAAACTAGTTGAATTATAATTTATTTAATTCACTTATTAAATCATTTTCTGTATGAAGCGATATTTTAAACAATTGTTTTGCCGGAACGCGTTCCGGCCCAAAAATGATTTGCCGGAACGACGTTCCGGCGCGTTCCGGCCCGACAACACCAATGAATATAATATATGAAAACATGCGTGAGTCAAATGTTAAACTAAAGTTAATATTCCATTTACCAAGTTCATCGACAGCTCCATGGTGATAAAATTCTAAAAGTTGTTCATTTTACGCATAATTCAAATTTACGATTATCTTTGTTGAACACATTTTGAAAGATAACAAAATTTTCATAGCTTTATGAAAGAAAACCAATTTGCATTTGTTTTCCAAGTTGTCAAAATAGAGGTTAAATATTTATATAATGCCATATTGGATATTCTTAAAGCTAAAAATAGTAATTGTACTAATATTTTATACATTTGAATTACATTGTGAAAAAGTTTATAGAATAGTTCCCAAATATGAACATTCAGCTTTTGACCCTGTGATAGTGGATATGAACATGTATCCTTATATAGTATGTGCAAAAACTTTGAGATAATATCAAAGATTATTAGCATATTGCGTTAATTAAACTTACAAAAATAGGTATCCCTACAGAGAAAGAGATTGCATAAAAATGATATACATTTTTGTTCTGGGACTATGGTAACGACAAGATTAGGATTGTCTGCAGCACATTGTGTAAAATGGATGTAAGTTAAAAACTATACATTTTTATATTAGTAAATTTACATAAAAAATAGTATCAGAAGTTGGTTAATATTAATAACTTTATTGCACATATTGGTTTCAGTTAGTAACTTCAAATAAACGTCTTCATAAAATAAGCTGGTAGTATCGTTTACATCTATTCAAAACGAAATAAGACGCATAATTATTGAGAATCAATATTTTGTGAACGCAAGTAAGATCCAGCAATAAATAGTTAAAAAAACTAATCATCTCATTCAAGGAAACCAGATGGGTCGATAGGAACAATATTGCCGGAAGAGTGCACGGCGGTCTCCGGCATTCCAATACCAAACCTGGCTTCGGAATACAAATTCGAGATGCGACTACCGGTGGAGAGCTTTCGTCTTCATCACCAATATGATCCAAAAGCTCTTTCTTATGACATTATGTACTTTAAGGTAGAAACAAGATTAACAGCAATTAATTGATATTTATAATATTTACTAAAATAATTTAAATATCGCGATTATTATATATTTCAGATTAATCGAAAATTAAGACTATTATAAGTATGCAAACTTTCATATATGTAGTTGTCACATTTCAGTACTCCGAAACACTTAAACATAAGCTGTTTAAAATATTTACCAATGCATTACTTAATGAATACAATTGATTTAGTCAATAAAAAAAAGTTAAATGCCACTCGATTCAAATCTGTATAGACATTATTAATGATTAATATTTATTTAATCACAATAATTAGAATTATTTGATACGAGAAAAAAAGTTCTAGGCTGTAATAAATAAATATCATACGGAAATTAAAATGGATCATAAACTACAATATTTAGATTAAATATATGCTTGAATTTTCAATAGGTAGAAAATGCGAGATAAAATTTTAATTATTAATTCCTTAATAAGATTGGAATTTTATGGCGATTATTTTTAATGATTAAGAAAAAGTGTTTATACCCTGAGTTTTCATCATTTTTATCTTAAATACTTTAAAAAAAATCTAGAACGCTCAATCTATTGGATAATATTTTTTGGACAAAAAATGCATGTTAATTTTATTTTTATTATTCGAGAGATGGTAAGAGATTTTGAAATGCCGTATACATATCTTCCCAAGATTCCAAGCAACAAAGCTATAGATCCGCTACTTAGAGGTGAACAATAAATTAATTAAATAATCAATATACATCATATATATTTGATTATTTTAAAATATTTTATGAATTACTTAGATAAAGAATGTTTAACCATATATTGGCCGAATAAGCATTCATCAACAGATCCGTTGATGAGAATTCAAATGAACGAATCAAAACAATCCCACGCTCGCACTCAAGAAGAATGCGAAGATTGTAAAGAAAATTTTAATATGAAACAATCTTATATACCCATTGTAAATATCAAAGAAGAGAACTATCAAAAAACTATATAGAAATCCTAGCAAATAGAACTAACAGAAAAACTTTAGAAAAGATACTTCGAAGAAGAAGTAAAATTGCAAACAAAATAAATGGTTGGTTACTACAAATCGTTCTTTACATTTTATAAATAAAATAAAATTTTAGTCTATATTTTCAGCTAATAAATTAGCAGTAATTACAGTGAAGCCGATAAATCTAAATAAATGCCACAAATATTTTCCGGAAACTCTTTCTAGTGTTCATGATGTGGTGTGCACCTTGCATCCAGGAGGCGGAAATAAAAATGCTTGTTTTGTAAGTTTTAAGTTATATTAAATAGTATATCATTGTAAAAAATGCAATAAATCCCTAAATAAAAGTAGGCAAAATCATAAAAAGTATACATAATCTGCAGGACTTCCCTTTATTGTTGTGTGTTGCAGTATTATGCAGAGAAGTGTAATTCCTCAAGCTAAAATTGATTTGTAAAATTCAAAAATTTTAACTTTCGAAACTATTGTATATAGAACTGTATTTCGATTTCTATTTGAAATTGTGTATAAAGTTTTTGAGTATTCAAACAGCAATACTACTTGAATTTTTTTTTCATTTCAATGATTATTCCTAATTTTCAACAGTATATAGAATAGCTTCTCTTATGTTATTTAATCTAATGAACTGCATGATAAAACGTAAAACTACTTATAAAAATATAAAACTCTATCGGATAACGCTGAAGTAAGTTCATAAAAAATAATTTTAGTTAACGAGACACGCTCAGAAAGTGGGAATACCTATAGGTTTAATTTTCTTTCAAAATGTTAATTAAATATATATCTTGTAACAAATAAATGAGATGTCTTATACCAGGCTGACCATGGTGCTCCCTTATTATGCGGATCTGGTTCCGATGCGAAATATCTCTCGGGCATTGTTTCTTTCGGAACAGGCTGTGGACGTATTTCGACGCCTTGTGTATTTACATTAGTCAGCAAGGTACGTTGCTCAATTTCTAATTAAACTAATTACTTGTTACACAATTATAAACAGGTAGTATTATTATAAAAATTAAATGGCGTCATGTATTTTTATCATGCCAGAAAAATTAGAAACACAAAGCTCGAAACTGCTACTCTCGGAGAAACAAATTTCAAAAATGTAATAAATTTTTAAATGGTGATTGAAATAAGTATTTTTTGCTTATATGCTATGTGTAAATCAGTTTCCATATACTTTATTTACATGACATGATTTTAATTTTAGTATTCGACTTGGTCAAAAGTCCAGAGTAAACGGTTGACTTCAAACGCCGAAGGAAATGCCTTAAATGTAATTTTGTTTATAGTTATTATAGTGACTAATACAATTTGTATTTAAATAAATGGCGTAATACGCCTCAACTTATAATAAAGAATTTATTATATTAAACTTATATTATATTAAACGGTAGGAATATTAAAAATTATGAATATTTCATGTTTCATAATGAATTTTGTAAATAACAGGTATGTTAATATTTACTCTTAATTTGGAAATACCTAAGTACGCACTGACGATAGACATAATAAAAATTGTGAACAAATCATGTTTCATGATGAATTTTATTAAATATCAGGTATGTATTTAATAAATATATTTATTTATTATGGGAAAAGATACTATAATATTAATATTACATTTTAGTATTACAGTTTTCTTTTTTATAAGCAATTACTCTAAGAAATAATTTTAGTATTTTTTAATATAGTATAAGTGCTTTAGAAAAAATATTTTTAAATTATAAATTTATAGTGGTAACGATAAGCATATTTAAAAGATGAAAAAATAATCAATTTAAGGTAACTAAATTTTGCGTTAAAATTTAGCTAAACTGGTTTTAAAAAATAACAGATCGGCGAAGATATTTGCTAATATAATAGGCAGCAAATACTAAATTTTAAAAAATATAGAAACCTACTAAAGAAATATTATAAAAATGTTTTATTTATGTTTAATGATACATTAATGTATGTTATATTCTACAAACTTTTTTTAATATTCGAAAACAACAACGGCCGACATTGTTTACAACTAAGTAATGATTTTTATTTACAGGGACACAAAAAGGTGATATGCATAATAAAAATCTATAAGTTACCTTGGACATCAACAATTTACATGGATTTATTTTGTCAGATTAATGGTATGAAATTTTTTTCATGTTTGTTCAAATTCAAAATTTGTTTGTAGGAAAATAATACAAATATTAAGTTTTGGCCTTTAATTATCAACATAACATATTTTTCCTAATTCAAAAAATTACTCATGCCTGC